AGGACATGAGGTAGGTGAGGGACAAGGAAAATGTGAGAGAGCAACTGACTGGAGGTCCCCATGGGGGTGAAAGATGACCAGGGTTAAGGTAACAGGGAAAGTGAACTACTAAGAGAGGGTGGTAGTCAGAGATTAGGGTGATTGGAATGGAGATGGAGGGTTTCCAGGTTGTGGTGTTAAATATTAAATAAAAATGAACTGTTTTACAAGGTTGTAGTCACTTCTTAGGTACAGTCAGCTACCCAGAGGGAGTAAGTTGTCAGACCTGTGGGCCCAGGACCATAGTCGCAGGGGACATCAAGCTCAATTGGCATAACATACTACACAAAACACTGTTCCACATCCTACTTTGGCAAGTAGCGACTGGGATCTTAAAAGCTTACAAGCAGCCATCTAGATGCAACGACAGGTCTCTCCTTGTCCAGATCAAAGAAGAATGAAGAAAACGAAAGATTCGTGGAAACAATTAGTCCAAGCGACTGGTACACCATGCAATCCTGAGCCTATATGACCATGAGACCAGAAGAACTAGATGGTGCCCAGCTACCACTGTCAAACACTCAGAAGGGGATGTATGTAGGAGATCCTGCATAAAGTGGGAGAACAACGTGGAACAAAACTCAAAAAAAAAAAAACAAATGGGGGTGGGCCAGATTTGCTGGTCTGATAGAGCCTGATGAAACCACTGAGACTATGGCCCCTAGCTGCCCTTCAGGTCTGGAATTGAACCCACACTTGTGACTTCCAGCCAAACAAAAGACAGGCATATGAGTTGAACATTTACCTCAAGTAGATACACTCCTTGGAGAGAACAATCATGGGAGTAAGAAGGGCTGTGTATGCACAGGGAGACAGCTCAGGGGCAGGAGTGTATGCAGGGAGGGACACAGGGAAGAGTAATTATGGGGAGGAAGGGGAAGGGAAGCTGTTGCATTGTGGGAAATTGTAGTCAATGTCATAAGACAAAATGTACGTGAACTGCTGCATGGAAAGTGAATTTGCTCTGTAAACTTTTACCCAAATCACACTTAAAAAAAAAAAAAATTAAAAAAAAGAATGGTCTTAAATGTGTATGAATTATTGAGTGTAAAATGAATCTGCTTTGTAAAACTGCACCCAAATCACACTAAAAATTATTTTAAAAAGAAAAAGAATGGTCATGTGTTCCAGGAGCAAAAACTTTCTGAGCGCAAATAAATAAAAATGGCCATTTGTGCCAAGTACCAAACCTTGACAGAATAGGGAATTTTTCAAAGTGTTCTAAGCACAGAAACTCTCCAAAAAGAAAAGCTTGATAATTAAAAATGTTTTTGACTCACCACATAGGACTCCACCAATTCCCAACAGACAAGAGTGCTTATAAAACCAATGACAAAAAGAACTTTACCTGGGAAGACCCTCCTTTCCATTAAGGACATACCAAAGACCGAGTCATTTTAACTTTCCTACTGAAAACCCTCCGATTGCTTGTACAAACCCTGCACTCAAAAAAAAAAAAAAAGAGAGAGAGAGAGAGAGAGACAAACCATTAAGGAGTCAATTCTGACTCATAGCAAACCCCATTGGGTTTCTAACATTGCCCCATCTTCTTTTGGTGGAGCAGCTGGTAGGTTTGAACCTCCAACCTTCTGGTTAGTAGTCAAATGCCTTAGGCACTGCACCACCAGAGGTCCTTAAACTCTGCACTACCAAAAAAACAAACCCGCTGCCATTGAGTCCATTCTGACTCATAGTGACCTCCACTGGGTTTCCTGCTTATATAAGCTCCTTTTTGGATGCTTCCCTTTCAAGAGTAGCTTCTCACTCAATAAAACAACCAAAAGACAAACTCACTGCCGCCGAGTCAGATCCAACTCATAGCAACCCCTCCTTGGGTTTCTGAGGCAGTATCACTATGGAAGTAGATTGCCCAATCTTCCCTCCAAGGAGTGGCTGGTGGGTTCGAATCACCAGCCTTCTGGTTAGCAATCAAATGCCTTAGGCACTACACCACCACAGCTCCCACTCAATAAACCCTGTTAACTCTAATTGACTTGGGGATCAGGTTTTTCTTTTGGACATTGGTAAATGATAAGGTGGCATGGAGATGGTGGTGCAAGTTAAGTGCTTGGCTGCTCACTGAAAGGTTGCCAGTTCGAACTCACCAGCCACTCTGAGAGAAAGATGTGGTGGTAGTCTGCTTCTACAAAGATTATGATGGTTCTGGTGGTGTAATGGGTAAGGCTTTTGGCTACTAACTGCTAGGTCAGTGGTTCAAACCCACCAGCTTCTCTGTGGGAGGAAGATGAGTTGATTTACTTCTGTAACCAATAGCAGTGGGTTTTTTGTTTGTTTGTTTGTTTGTTTTTAATGTACAAAAAAAGCCTCAGGAAAGAGCACTCAGACTTAGAGGCACAAAACTTAAAGATGCCAAGAATATAGCTTGAGATATTCCAGGGAGGTCAGCCTTGAGAGAAAAATAGAATCCACCTGGTGTTGATGCTCTCCAGAGCTAAGAGAGAAGGGTCATAGTCATAAGTTAAGAGGCCTCTCTTTGTCCTTCTCATGGGTTAAAGAACCCCAGTCCTTGAGAATAAAATGAGTACACGTGATCATAAACTTTAGTTCAACTTGTATTAACCCTGTATTTGCCCACTGGGAGTCGGCAGACTTTTTGAGTATTCTGAAACTCTGTCCGTTTCCCACTTATCCATAAATGACTAAACTCTTCTCTCATCTCTCAGTGTGAATGAATTGACTCTGCATCGCTCTAGGTACAGGCCCACATTTTTGGGTAACAATTACAGCCTTGGAAACCCTTTGGGGCAGCTCTACTCTGTCCTATAGGGTCTCTGTGATTCAGAATCCAGTCAAGGTCACAAAACAATAATGATAAAGTGTGAAGTATGTCCACAAGAGCAGCTGAGTTGACATGGGCAGAGGACAAGATCATTGATGGAGTAGGAAGGGAGGGGAGGGAACAGTGCAAAAATAAATAAATAAAATAAAATAATATCATTGATGGAAACCAAAAGCCAAATCAAACCCACTGCCATTGAGTCTTTTCCAACTCACAGCTACACTCTAGGGGAATCCAGAACTGTCCCATAGGGTTTCCAAGGCTGTAAATCTTTAAAGAAGACTGCCTCATTTTTCTCCCGCGGAGCTCTGGTGGGTTCCAACCGCCAATCTCATTGATGGAAAGAGGGTCAACAAACTGAGAAGCCTAAGCAATGCCAGATTTGCCAGATTTATGTGTGTGTGGAGGGGCGGGATGAAGCTTGTCAGTTGTGCTTCCCAGAGCGATGGTGAGACCCCCAACTCCTCACAGAACAAGGGTGCGTAATGGGGTGGGTGGAGTCAGATGAGCTTAGATTCAGAGCTGGAATTCTGGAGATGGCTGGAAATAGGAACAATGAGAAAAGTGACACCTACACCTCCTTCCAGCTGCTACCTAGCTCCTGTGTGTGAGAGAGGACTCCCTAGGGGAAAGCCAGCTTTGAGTTGGAGAATAGAGAAAAAATCTTGGGAGGAATGTAGAGAATGTAAATTTGCCATGGCAAGTGGGGTGAAAAAAACTGCTGGCCATGTGACCATCCAAACAGATATTGAGCAGAAAGGCTCAAGAGCAGTATGTGATGGCGTTGAGTCTGGGTAGGAAGGCAAGGCCAACTGAGCGGGTGGAACTGTGTCCAAATCCAGCCCCGCCTCTTACTGCCTGTCTGATGCCTAGCCAGTCAATTGGTAAAACAAGTTCCTAAAAAGAGGGTTAAATGAAAAGCACAGGCTAGAGACACCCTAAGGAACTCTGGTGGTGTAGTGCCTAAGGCAGTTGACTGCTAACCCGAAGGCTGGCGGTTCAAACACACCAGCCCTCTTCGGACGGAAGACTGGGCAATCTACTTCCGTAGAGATACTGCCTCGGAAACCCAAGGAAGGGTAGCTATGAGTCGGGTCCGACTCCATGGCAAATAACAACAACAAAGACATCCTAAGCACGTAATAAATGCTTGGAAACCCAGTGGAGGTCGCTAAGAGTCGGAATCAACTCGATCGCAGTGGGTTTGATTTGGTCTGTTGTCATTAAGACCACAATGAAATGATTAATAATAAACCAGTTTCAGTCTTTTCCCATAACTTCGTTTTTAATTGTATTGAGAAATGACCTGCTTTTATAGGTTTATAAAATATGCCTTGCACCGGAGCAGTTTACCATGTATGACTGTACTAAGATGTCCACGTAAAAACATAAGCCTTGTTCTTTAAGACAAACAAACATGGTCAAGTTAATAAATTTGAGTTGTAAGGGATCAGGAGAAATTACTTGGTTCAACTCCCTGTTGCAACACTCCTCTACATTATAGAAGTAAGCTCGGTGGAGCCAGGAATGACCTGAAGTATTACCAGCAAGGCGACTTAATCGGTTAGAGGAAACTAGAACCCGGAGGGATTCTAGACACAGGTCTAGGCTCCTGCCCTGCCCTTTAGTTTGGCGACTTCTGGCGATTCGTGATGAGCCTGCCCTACCTGTCAGGCCGCGGCCACAGCCCGAGGTCCCCCAGTTCTTTCCCACTTTTCCGGACGGATAAAAGCACCCACACTAGACTGGGTTCAGAAACCGCTTCCTGAGACCGAGCGGACTCTGGCGCCACCGCCGCCCCCTAACTCTAGCGGGTGGAGAGAGGCGCCGCGACGTAAGGCGGCGCGGAAGAGAGCAACGACAGGCTGGGTGGGGCGGGGAGGAGCCTGCGCGCCTCAAAACCCGACCCTCACAGCCGAGGTTCCCGCGCGCGGCGCGCTAGGTCTCGGGTAGTGCGACCAGAGCGCCGCTGGGACACCCGCGCCGCAGCTCTCGGTGCTCCCGTCCGGCGCGCCCGCTTCGCGCGGGCTGTGCAAGGCAACACTTGGCGAGTGGAGCCGTGTGCTGGGCTCCTAGATCCCGCCGGGACGCGGCGGACCGAAGGGACTTGCGAGCCAGTAAGCCGGACCCAAGCTGTGCGCCCGACCCACGCTGTATGCCCATGGGCGGCCCCTGGAACAGCAGCGACGGCCCTGAGGGCGCGCGGGACTCTCCAGGGCCAGGGATGCAGCCGTGCGACGAACGCCGCTGCTCCTTCTTTCCCCTGGGGGCGCTGGTGCCGGTGACGGCTGTGTGCCTGGGCCTGTTCGCCGTCGGGGTGAGCGGCAACGTGGTGACGGTGCTGTTGATCGGCCGCTACCGGGACATGCGGACCACCACCAACCTGTACCTGGGCAGCATGGCCGTGTCCGACCTGGTCATCCTGTTCGGCCTTCCCTTAGACCTGTACCGCCTCTGGCGCTCGCGGCCCTGGGTTTTCGGGCCGCTGCTCTGTCGCCTCTCGCTCTACCTGGGCGAAGGGTGCACCTACGCCACGCTGCTGCACATGACGGCGCTCAGCGTAGAGCGCTACTTGGCCATCTGTCGCCCGCTGCGTGCCCGCGTGTTGGTCACTCGGCGCCGCGTCCGCACGCTCATCGCCGCGCTCTGGGCTGTGGCGCTGCTCTCGGCTGGACCCTTCCTCTTTCTGATGGGCGTCGAGCAGGACCCCAGCATCTACCTGGCCCCGACCCTAAATGGCACCGCGCAGGTCACCCCCTCGACCCCCGCTTATCCACCAGGGTCCTCAAGGACACCATCCCTATCCCCACCGTCGGGGCTCGAAGCCGCAACCGCCGCGGCGCTGTTCAGCCGCGAATGCCGGCCGAGCCCGGCGAGGCTGGGCGCGCTGCGCGTCATGCTGTGGGTCACCACTGCCTACTTCTTTCTGCCCTTCCTGTGCCTTAGCATCCTCTACGGGCTCATCGGGCGGGAGTTGTGGAGGAACCGGGGTCCGCTGCGAGGACCAGCCGCCTCCGGGCGGGAGAAGGGCCATCGGCAGACTGTCCGCGTCCTTTGTAAGTTGCGCGACCTCTGTTCCAAGCACACCCAGCCCTCGGCTGAGCAGGACAGCGCAGATAGGCCCTTGGCCTTGCCCCCTATGCCCTCAGCCCTCTACGCCCTTTCCACCTACATTTTCTTTTGTGTGTCTGTACTTCTAGTCTGGAGAGAAAACCGTCTCCTCTCCCCTAGGAGCTCAGAGGGACACCTGGGCGTTCCTGAGGGTGGAGTCCTCTGGTTTCGGGAAATAGTAATAATTGTCCAAAAAGCAGACAATTGTCCAGTTGTCTCTGAGCAGGATAGGAATTGGAGCTTCTTAATCCAAGTGCCTGTTCGTCAGATGCGGCAGATGTGGACTGCTCACAGTACCCTTGAGAAGACCGAGCAGGTTACATTGAGCTAAAATTTTAACTTAATGTTGAATTATCTTGAAGGCTAAAGTGAACCATGCCCATAGCAAAAAGGAAAAGATTGTGCAGATCTGCTGCAGAATTTTTTTCGGCCAAGAACAGAGACAGGCCCCTGGAGGTTGACTCATAGTGACCCCTCTGTGGGTTTCCAAGGCAGAATCTCAACAGAAGTAGATTGCCCAGTCTTCCTCCCAAGGGGTGTCTGGTGGGTTTGAACCACCAGCCTTCTGATTAGTCATCAAATCCTTTAGGCACTGTGCCACCAGAGCTTCCTTATGGAAGGAGGCCTGCCAGAACAGCTTGTTTGTAGAAGGTGCTACCTGTGATTTATGTCCAGCCTTGAGAGCACATAAATGAGGCTAAAGAGCAGTTTTGAAGCGATTACTGATGCAACCTGCAACCTGGTAGTTTTTCTGGGGGTGAGGACTTAGGTAAAGTTCTGTCTTCTGGGTTTTGTTTAGTTACTACTTCAGATGGTTTACTGGGATCCTTCTTTGTTTCCCCATGCTTTTGCTAATTCTCATCCTTGTGTCTTGTTTTGCAGTGGTGGTGGTCCTGGCATTTGTCATTTGCTGGTTGCCTTTCCACATTGGCAGAATCATTTATGTAAATACACAAGACACTCAGACGATGTACTTCTCTCAATACTTCAATATAGTTGCTTTGCAACTTTTCTATCTGAGTGCTTCCATCAACCCAATCCTCTACAACCTAATTTCAAAGAAGTATAGAGCAGCAGCCTATAAGCTGCTGCTTTCCAGACAGTCCAGACAGAGAGGTTTCTGCAGAAGCAGGGACAGTGGAGAGGATACTGGGGGGGACACTGTAGGAGATACACCTGGCTACACGGAGTCCAGTGCTAATGTAAAGACAACATCATAACCAGCACGGCCCTGCAAGCCACCACATCCCATGGTTCTGGGACGCCAGGGAAAACAGGTCTGTAGAGAAGCAGGACTGAACATGGTACTGAAGCTTATGAAGAAGAATGGCAAAAAGGGTTGAAGCATTGCAAGCTGTTAAAAACAATTGTCAGTGTATAATTTTTTTTAATCAAGGTATGAAATATGTGTAACTGTCCCAATCTTTCTGTTTCCCCTTTTGTGTACTACCAAAGAATGTACATTTTAACATCCATCACTGTGTGACAAATAGCAGAGCAGGTGCTCTGGTGAGGTTTTGTTAGTCTTCATTTTTTTGATCTTTGGAAATATGCTATGATCGCTCAGTTTTCAGTTAATAAGTGATACAGACAGATGCAGCCGCACAAATCATGAGATCAGGGGTCTGTTTTGTTGTTATGCTCTGAATATAAACATGAGGCTGCATACACAAGGAACCCAGGATAATGAAATTTGGGTCCAAGAAAGCATTTAATGGCTATTGAAGGGAGTAACTGGGAGCTCTGGTGGCGTAGTGCCTAAGGCATTTGACTGCTCACCAGAAGGCTGGCAGTTCAAACCCACCAGCCACCCAGAAGGAAGGTTGGGCAATCTACTTATGGGAGCTCTGGTAGCATAGTGGATAAGACACTTGCCTGCTAACCAGAGGGCTGGCGGTTCAAACCC